TCAGCAGCTGCCCAGGGAGCCTCACTTCAATTCACTCAGCCTAATAATAACCATCAGGACAACCATCGCTACATTAAAAATAATAATAAAATGAAATCCTTAAATAACAGCATCCTTTATTTCCGTGGTTAAACATTAATTACTTCCATTCAGTAGAAATCCCATTGTACATTTTGACAGGGAAAAGCAATATCTGTGTTGAAAATTGAATTGATTAGATTGATAGGTTTTAATAAATAGGAAAGGTTACAAAGGGTTTCATTTCCAAATAAATGACTTTAAATGATTTATTACAGGCTATCATAACTTAATCAAGTGTTGGCTTTTGTGTTTGCAGTTCAGTGACTGAGCAATCAAAAATGTCTAACCATTTGGATAATTACAAATTTTGAAATAACTTCAATGCTCACGAATATCCCAGGTCCACTTTCTTACATTAGAGGGAGTAAGCATAATAGAGGCTGACTCTTTATCTTGCTTTTGAATTTGTGATATAATACATGTGTGATGAAATTGGAAAAGAATTTAAAATACAGGTTCAGTGTCAGTTCCCCTCTGTCCTTCCCCTGCCCCATCCACCCTCCCCATCTCTCTTCCCTCTTTTCTGTGATATGTCAGTCCCGTCATTCCATGGCCATGTTCAGAACATTGAATTCACATTTCAGATACTATAATAAAATATGAACATTAATTTATACAACATCATTGTGAGGCTACATCAGGGACCCTTTCATAAAACTCAGTTGTGTCCTGTCAGGTTCTTATTATCTTAAAACATCCTTGGCCATGTCATTGTCTACCAGGTGTCTAAAATGTAAGCCCACATTTCTGTCAGCATTCTCGCTTAATTTCCTTCTTATTCTAAAGATAAAGGAAATGAGATGTAAATGCCGACTCAGATGATCAGTTTGCTGGCATTGTGCTATAAAGTCACATAAGGAATTAGAGGCGTCAGTCTATGCACAATATTGCCACCTTCTGCTGAACACTTTATATCTTAGAAAAGATGTGAATTACTTTCAGAGTCAGTGTGAGCTTGAACAAATGAGGAGCTGTATATGAATTCAAATGCAGTTTGGGTTATATGACCAAAAAAATGCTGTATATGTCATGAGACCCAAAGATTTGTTTTATTTTTCTGTGATGTGCGTGAGGGCTATTGGTAAGAATCTGGATAACTTCCTTTAAGCATTTATGTTGTATATTTTCTCAGTTACTGGCATGAGCTTAATAATTAGCATTTAACTAATTAGCAAATTACTAATTAGTAATTAGAAATTATCTCTATTACTAATTAGTAAAAGGTTACCCCAAATTTTTGTTGTTTATAGTAAAAAAATGCATATGGCATCAATTATTATTATTTCTTCCTTTCAAGTTTTCACCAATGTCTTACTTATCATCAAATATTGGGAGGGATCTGGTTTCCTATTTGTAGACAAGAGTAGCAGCATGCTGAAGATTTATTTTAGGTTTAAGTTATATATATATATTTAAAATATAGTTTTATTTATTTCAGAGATGAGAGGACAGGGAGGCAGAGATAGAAACATCAGTGATGAAAGAGAATCATTGACTGGCTGCCTCCTGCATACCCCACATTGGGAATTGAGCCCACAACCCAGGCATGTGCCCTGACTAGAAATCGAACTCTGACCTCCTGGTTCATAGGTTGTTGCTCAACCACTGGGCCAGGCCTGCCAGGCAAGAATATATTTCTTTCACTTCTTAATAATGGGTAATTCTTACAAGTCTCTTATTTTAATGAAATAATTAATTAATTGAACATTAACAACTTTTTAGAAGTCATGTTCACTAAGTACCTCATTCTCAGGTATAATGCCAAGATTTCATTTCCATGTAATCCTGGTTTATTGGTATCCTGGTTTTCATTTATTGTTTCAATGCAAATATTTCTAAAGGATTACTACATCTTTGCAAATACTTTAAAATCTGCCAAGCAACTACACATGCTCTAAATGCATAAATCTTCCAAAGAAATCTGATATGGGATTAATATGAAACCGGCCACTCTAATGGATACCAAGCTTACTGTACAATCTACTTTTTGAATAAATCATGCAAGAAAATTGCAGAGTATGTAAATTACAAAGCCCTCATAAATCAGTATCCTTTAGGTTGCTCTGCCTTTGGATGATGGGTAGCCCTGCAGAGGCCACGACATATTTGAAAGTAAATTAGAGGAAAGCAGTTAAAGCGAGGGAGGAATTCCCATTAAGGAAAGGAAATGCTCAGAAAATCATTATAAAAGTTGAGTACACAGATTGCACACTCCTGGGCTGGGGCCATTGGCTGCAGAGCCCATGTATGAATGAAATGGCTCACTCTGGTTTTCACAATTGTGACTGTTACAGAATTGAGTTAAGATATTGGACTTGTTCCTTCAAATTTGCCCAAATGCTTAACAAAAAGTTTCCTGGCCTAGCCCATTTGGCTCAGTGGATCAAGCAGACTAAAAGGTCCCAGGTTCGATTCCTGTCAAGGCCACATACCTTGTTTGCAGGTTCCCTGGCCCTGGTCTGGGTGCATGCAGGCAGCAACCAATACTTGTGGCTCTCTCACATCAATGTTTGTCTCTGTCTCTCCCTCTTCCTTACATTCTCTCCAAAAATCAATGGGAAAATACCCCTTGGTGAAGTTCTCTAAATCACAATGTTAAATCCATTTCTAGTAAAGATTTTGAACTCATTGATAGAGCCGCAGACCATCATCTCTGTTCTAATCTCCAATAGGGGTAAGAAAATCAACTTTTACGAAGGTTGCTGGTAATCTCTGAAATATATTTTACTATGGACCACGTACTCATTTTATTTTACAAAAATGTCCCTTGCCATCCACTTTACACTTATATTTGGCTAAATGAAGAAAAATATTAGCCAGCAACAAAAAGATGGTGAGGTTTTTAAAAATATGGTTTATTCCGGAAAAACAAATTTTCTGAAGAAATGTGAACACTTAAAAAAAAAAAAAAGAAGAAGAAGAAGCTTTTTCTCAAGATCATATTAAATGCCAGGAAGTTTTGCCAAGCAGATTTTCAGGGGGAAATCGGGCTCTCCTAACTGTCCAAATGTTTTCTCACGTTTCAAACAAGCAGCTGCTGGGAGTTCCTGCCAGGACTGAACCTTTCAGGCAGAATGTGAGCAGCTGCCAATCTTGTGTCAATATTTTAAATCCACTTGCAACCATCTCAACTGGTGAAAATGTTCTTTTTCCCCCAAAAGGCCAACCAGCCACTCTTTTTGAAGCTGTGCCTCCCTTTTACTCCCCTAGTGGTGAAATCGCCTCTCAAGCCCTTTGAGAAGAGAAAGAGCTTTCTTGAATATTAGAAATAAGGACAAATCTCAATCTGTTGATAAGGACAAATTTGAAATAGCAGAAACATTGATGGCCATAAGAAAAATGTAAAATAATATGTAACTGATCAATATTTTAGCAAATATGTGTGTAATGAATTTACTCATGTAGGGATTGTTGCTAGAGCTTTTCTTCCCTCCCTCCCTCCCTCCCCTCCCTCCCTCCCTCCCTCCTTCTTTCTTTCTTTCTTCTTTTCTTTCTTTCTTTCTTTCTTTCTTTCTTTCTTCTTCTTTCTTTCTTCTTTTCTTTTCTTTTCTTTTCTTTTCTTTTCTTTTCTTTTCTTTTCTTTTCTTTTCTTTTCTTTTCTTTTCTTTTCTTTTCTTTTCTTTTCTTTTCTTTTCTTTTCTTTTCTTTTCTTTTCTTTTCTTTTTTCTTTTCTTTCTTTTTTAAAGAAGGAAAGTCCAGATTTTGACCTTCAAAAACTTGCAAATCAAGATTGGTAAGGGCAAACAATACATACCTAGAAATTAGTTTGAAGGTATCTATTACATTTAAACTGGAGAATAATTACCTGCTTGACTCTTAGGTTACAGTCTATAGATTATATCAAAATCTGTGGTCTGAAGGAGTTTTCTTTAAGGCAGATAAGAATGAAAAATGTGCCGAAACCAGTTTGGCCCAATGGATAGAGCCTCGGTCTGCAGACTGAAAGGTCCCGGGTTCGATTCCGGTCAAGGGCATGTACCTTGGTTGTGGGCACATCCCTGGTGGGGGGTGTGCAGGAGGCAGCTGGTCGATGTTTCGCTCTTATCGATGTTTCTAACTTTCTATCCCTCTCCTGTCCTCTCTGTAAAAAATCAATAAAATATATTTAAAAAAAAAAGAATGAAAAGTGCATGGTATTATCACATATAAATTGAGAGGGAAAAATTGGCACATGATTGTGCTTGAGATGAGATTGGGTGTAACATTGTTTTCTAAACTAGGAAGATTTTACTGCAGCTGTGATGAGGGGTAATAGGGTGAGGATGATGAGAGGATGAAATGAAGGAACAGGAATATGAGGGATGTATAAGATAAGTACATGGTCCATTGGTTGCTTGGAGAATGAGTTTTGCCCTGAGCTAAATAAAGGCTACTCTTGGACACTGAAGCCAACGGTTGAAAATCCATCCAGTCCTTCTATATTTTTACTTAAAAAATGGGTATTTAGGAAATTTTTATTAAAAATTGAACAATTTATGGGACTCTGCATTATTTACTTGAACAATTTATCTATTTATTTATTTTTGTAGCACTGAAGAAAATTCCTTTAGTCATGTAAGGTTGTTTTGTTTTTTTTTTTTTTTTTTTTTTACATTTGAGATCACTTTTAAAGTTTTGTGAACTTTTACTATTCAGATTAGAAAGCGGCTAACATTTCCTTATGCATATTAATAGTGTTTAAATTATATTCACAAAATAAAATCCTATTCATTATTCATGTTAGATTATGAGATGTAGTAACTACAAGGCAATGTGATTTTTAAAAATATCTAGAATTAGTGGGATTAATGCAAGTTAGGTACTCTTTTAAACTATGTCACACTTATACTAGTGATGAGGATGAGATATTGCTGGATCATATTTAAAACTTCTCATTGGAATTGTCTTTATAACTAGTAATGGATAAGAAAGTTCCAGTATTTTTTTTTTAAAAAAAGCGCTAACATACATTATTCTTATTATTTTTTCCTTTTCATGGAAGTCTTTAGTAAAAGGCAAAAGATTTATAGACTCTGAAGAGAAACCAGAACATACATATCATTTCCTTATGGAGTTAACACAGCAAGCATTTGATTCTTGGGAGAATAGCTTAGACACCAATTGTGCGGTCCCTTGAGACAAAACGCCCGTTTTGAAGTCCCAGCTTCAGCCTTTAATAGCTGCCTGGCCTTAGTGGGAAAATCAGTTCATCTTTCTGTGCCTCTGTTTCCTCGCCTGTAAGTTAGGAATATTAATGGTGTCTCCCTTGTAGGTTGTTTCAAAGATTAATAAATTAGTGCGGGTGAAGTGCTTCAAGTGGGGCTTTGCACACAGGAGATGTTATCTACATGTTGACAGTTATTAAGGAGTTGCCAGTCTTTTTTTTTTTTTTCCTTCTTTTTTAAATATTAAATGGTCCTATTTGTGATTTTCACCTGAAAGTAGTTGTAATAGAAACTTTTCTGGAAAAGTACTGTTAAGTATTTTTTTTTTTTTCCTTCTCATTTTCTTTGATTTATTGTTTGGAGTCTTACAGGTTTATAATAAACACTAATCAGATATTTACACCTTTATCAGGTGGCAGTGTGAATTATCTGAAATGTGGAATTTTTAAGGTTGCAGTGTTCTTTCTTAGGGTATTAAAGTTAATTTTGTGGATTAATTTTCTTTTTTTTTTAATTTATTGGGGTCACTCTGGTTAACACTATTAAATAGGCTTCAGGCGCACAATTCCGTAACACACCATCTGTACACTGAATTTTATGTTCTCAAAAATAAGTGTTAAATATAGTGTGATTCTCTCATTTAATACTTACTAATGATTGCACACCAGTTTGCATGGTCACAAGAAGCACGGATTGACAGAAAAAGAAGGATATGTTAAACCTCGGGAAAACCCACCATTTAAGTCACGTATTAACTGAACACAGAATCTCCGCTCCATTCACTGGGAGCCGTGTTCGGTATTAGCGGATGATAACGGATGGCTTGTTTTTTCAAGGGTGTGCGCACGTCGTTCTCTGCCTTGGGTAGCAGCTGTGGCTGCTGTGCACAGATGTGACCGGCTCCAGGTAACTGAGAGCTGCCGCGTTGTTTGTGTAGCCTCTGCTGCTAACTGGAATATTTGTGTAGTCGCCCTCCTACCTTGCTCTTCTGCTGCCTTCACAATGGCGAAGATCTCATTGTGTAATTGGTTTTGCCTTCAGGTAATTGATTCGGATCTTGTTCCTGTTTTTTTTTTTGTTTTTTTTTGTTTTTTTTTTGTGAAATGCATTTGATTTTCATCCAATAGTTGTCCAACTCTCAAGGGAATGCCCACTGTACGGTAGTAGATGGAATTCTCTCAGCCTGTTTGTTTATGATATTGGATAAAGTGAACACATACCCCACTCCACTGAGAGTTTGGTTTCCAAAAAATAAACTGCTGAATGGCAACAGGCACTGAAGGGGCATTTAAAAAAAATTTTTTTAAAAGCTTTATACTTAAAGATTTTTAGTTGGTAAATTCTCACACTTAATACTGTATGAATATTTTTTGGGGTTTTGAATACTTTTTATTTCTTTTCTATTATTGTGTTGGTTGTTAAGATTTTAAGATTTTTTTTTTAATTTTAGAAGTGATGAGTGTGTGTGTGTGTGTGTGTGTTTATAATAACATGTTTCCTTGCCTCTGATTATGTCCCTCTTAACAAGCTCCAAAGGCCTTGGAGTAACTTCTCTTGGGTATCCTTTCTTTGACTTAAAACTGCATAAATGAGTATCACTAATATAATGAGTGTTTACTGAAATCCTGCAGTGATCAGCAAACTCATTAGTCAACAGAGCCAAATATCAACAGTACAAGGATTGAAATTTTTTTTGAGAGCCAAATTTTTTAAACTTAAACTTCTTCTAACACCACTTCTTCAAAATAGACTCGGCCAGGCCGTGGTATTTTGTGGAAGAGCCACACTCAAGGGGCCAAAGAGCTGCAGTTTGCCGACCACAGTCCTAGCACATTATAGGCCTTTGATAGGAAGGTTTTTTCATCTTCAGATAAGGAGCACCATGATGTGAGTGTAGACAGTGGAACGATGGTTCTGTATGTGAACCTGGTGCCTTGGATGCTGAGAGGGCAAGGCGGGGCGAGGATGAGCTCCCAACTCCGCCCTGCAGGGCGGAGTTATCCCTAGCCCTCACCCAACCAATCAGGGTTAGCCGAGGCAGTGACATCACCACCGACCAGAGTAAAACCCCTGGACTGGGAGAAATTCGCTCTCTGTTCCGCCATGCTGCCGGCGTGGGTGGGAGGAGCCCATGCTAGCATGGAACAGGCTCTTTTGCTTATTGCATCGGACTCGGCTCCCTGGTGGTCCTTGGGGATCACGAAGTCTGGGCATAACAGATGCCACTTTTCACATTGTAGGCAAAGAAAGCAGAGTTCTGGGGTATAGGATAGCTCATTAAATTGTGAGACAAGATTGAATAGATTATGAAGACAAGGTTGTATTAGTCAGAACTAAACAACTAGTGTTTACCAGCAGTCATACACCTTGTGCCTCGCATGATTTTACTTTAAGTCGACAATCAACTAGATACACAACACTTAAACTGTGAATATTTTCCTTGGAAAAATGAATTTTAGTCCACATTTGGGCTTGCAGTAGTAGGATTCATGTGTTAGAATGTCTTTGTTTTATATTATATTGTTACAAAACGTGCATCATATCGTGCTCCTCTTCTGAGGAGAGTTCAAGGTTAAAAAGTATCACAAACACTACTATTTATGGTGCTGTAGAATGGATTGTAGTATTATAGGGGCTTCTGTTTGCGTAAGTGTGTGTGGTTGGTGTAGGAAACACCAGAGTTGGTAATGTCTGGGCAAACTCTGGAAGCTTTAGTGATTTCTTCCTTGAGGGTCAGGGGTACCCTCTTCCAAGATGTTCTGATTTTTAAAAAATTGTAGGGAATCTAGATTTCCATGGGAACTTTCCCACTAAGTGAAATTTTTCTACATTTATTTAATAATAATTTAATAATAAATGGTTCATAGACATAAATGATATACCATATCATTCCCTAAAGCCTTTTGGTTTTCTTTCAGACCAGTCTAGGTTTTGAAAGAGACATAATTAATATAAAGTAATATGCACACCTCCTAAATGTCCAGGATTTTTGACTCTCATATACAACTGTGTCACCACCACCTAAAACAAGATTTGGAACATTCTCATCACCCTTAAACATTCCCCACTGACTCTTCCCAATCAGTTCTCCATCTTCAAACTTGTGTAACCGTTTTTCCAGACCTTTATTTTAAGTCCTCTAGACTTCCTTAGGGGACACTTAACCATCCTTGTTCATTCACTTGAGTCTGCTGCTAATGTGTTAATTCATCTGGGTACCTTAACTGCATTTGAAATTCCCAATAAAATAAAATAGAAAAAACATTAGTGAAAGCATCAGTCCTTAATACAAATAAGCTCTGCAAATCTTATATTTTAATTAAAAATTGGGGGCTATTGAAAATGAAAGATTAATGGAGTCATAAAGGTAAAAAAAAAAAATCCATATGTGAAACTGAATGGAATAGTAGTTCTGATGATTTACCTTGCCTTTAAAGGGTCTCTTAAACTTGCAAGGATAGAGTGCATTCTGAAGGTCATGAGACCAATGAAGGCTGCAGTTGCACAATCAACATTACCAGGTAGATGAAAGGATATTAGAGCGTACCACCTTATTTAAAAAGATAATACAATGGAAAAAATAAGAGTATTTTTCCATTTTATTTTTCTTTTCTTTATAATAAAGGAAAATGTATTTATTTTTGCTGCCCCTGAAGACAAGATTATCTCTTCAAAATGGGTGGCTTTGGAGTAAATTTCAAGAGATCAAAATTTATTTTAAGTCATGAAAATGTATAGCTTTAAATGCTCCTCATTTCTCCAGAGAGAAATGTGAAGAAAGAAAGGAAATCATATCTGTCAGTTATTTTCCTGTAAATCTATTTGAATTCAGTAAATTAAGAGATGGTTTGGTCTACTATGTGGTCTATTATGGCTTGACTATCCTTGTTTGTTCACTTGAGTCTGCTGCTAATGTGTTAATATCTGAAGTCAAGACATTTGAGACATTTGTTACCCTTTATTTTTGGCTCTTCCACATTTATACATTGGGATATGGGGGTTTGGGTCAAATTGTTTGAAAATTTTTCTTTTCCTCCTCCTCCTACTTCTTCCCCTCCCTCTCTCTCTCCTTCCCCTCTTCCCCCCCCCTCCCCCCCGCCAGAAATTAAAATAGAGGTGAGTAACCACTGGGGTTTTTTACTTGTACCTGCACTACTCGTTATCTATGTGGAAAAATTAGCAAGACAATGCTACTGCCACAGTACTTCCATATTGCTATGTAGAAGTGATCATTTATCTACTTAAAAAAAAAGCTCATCCTAATGTACACAGCTCTCCTCATAAATCATGTATAGCATGTGATATCTTCAGATAAAAATAACAACTCATGGTTTAAAGAGGCTAGAAGGAAAAAGAAGGTACAGTAGATTCCTAATAATTCATTGATCCAGAGTATTGTTTTTTAGTTGTTTTCACCAGTGGACCTACCATAGATGGACATTGTCTACAATATTCCACCCAAATACAATGCAAAGTAGGACTTGGTAGTCCCATAAATCATCTTTCCAAGAAAGAGAGCTGTTGTAGCAACAGGATGGCAGATGGAGCAGCTTTTTAACCAGTGGGGGGTTTGGTTCTATGCTGCCAAGGATATTGAGGAAAGAAGGAATTATGCAAATTTATCTGTTTTTCTTCTTTTCTAAGCAGTTTTACATGTAAAGAACTCACTCATTTTGGGACCTAAGTTGTTATTTTTTTGGCACTTGGTGCATAGCACAAATTGTATGCTGAGTGTATGTGCACTGCTTAATCTTTAAACATTAGATATAAATGCAGTATCTGTTAAAGGGTATGCTGCTTGCTGAATTGCAAAAAGTAACGGGACAGTTAAAGTCTGGAATCTATTCCAGGGAGTATCTGCCCAGTGTCTAAGATTGTATGCAGAATG